TCCCTCTCGCCTGAGCTCTGGGCCTCCCGTGACCCCGCCAGCCGCCGGCCCACTCGCTTGCCCTCCTTCCCTCACCGGGTCTTCAATGGCGCCGTCCCCCGGGTCACCCTCGACCAGTCCCGGCTCCTCCTCCTCTTCCTGGCTGCCGGGGGCTCCCGAGCCAGGCCCAGGGCCCGGAGTTCCCGGGGGGGCGCGGGGCCGGGGCGGCTCCTCTTCAGGCTCGGGCTCCGGCTCGGGCTCCAGCAGCAGCTCCCCAGGCTCCAGTTCCTCAGACTCCAAGCCGTTCCCGTAGTCCCCTGCGCCCCCCGGGGCCCCCTCCCCGGCCTCCCCACCGGCCCCGGGCACAAGATGGCGCCGCCGCCCCGGCCCGGAGCCCCGACCGCCCGCAGCCCCCGCTGCTGCTGCCGCCGCCGCCGCCGCCGCCATCGCCGCTCAGACTGGGGCCCGCCGCCTGACGATTGGAGAGCTGCGCCGGCCACGCCGAGGATTCATTAGTCAACCCTCCTGCCAGTCATCATGAGCTAGTAGTCTATTGGGGAATATCACTTGGCAATCAAGTAAGACCCCACCTCTAAGGCGTGATACTGCGCCAAATTATCAAATCCCGGTAGGGGAAATCTGTCTGTCAATCAACATACGTCCCACCTCCTCTTAAGTCCTTAGGTAACAATACCGCCACCCTCTGACGACATTCCTGCCTCTCCCCAGCATGCAGGCGGGCGCACGAAGTATAGGACGCTCCGTGATTGGCCCCTGGCTAGGCGAGCTGGAACCGACCAATCTTCCGATCGCCTCACCGCAGTGGTCCAGTCTTAGATGCCGATTGGCTCGCAAGATTCGAAGGGCTGACATCCACTAAGCGACAGGTGAACCTTGCCCCTAAACGGACTGCTCAGTATAAAGCAAGGAAAACTCGAGGTCACATGACTTAGTCCTTGGGGGCCGCCATCTTGAATCTACTGATTAGCGAGCTTTTGGAAGGCAGAGCCTGGAAACGTAAGGACGGTTTCCGGAAACTGGTCTAGGAATGCACGCGTAGATGGGATGTTCCTGGGAATGGAGGGCTCTGAATAGAGCACTCCAGGAGGCGCTTACTTTTCTTATCAAAGTAACTGGCACCACCATCCACTGTTGTTGTTATGTGCCATCGAGAGGGACCCCACTCATGGCAGCCTCTCCTTGGATTTCTGAGGCAGTATCACTACCGAAGTAGATTGCCCAGCCTTCCTTCGGAGGAGTGGCTGGTGGGTTTGAACCTCCAGCCTTGTGGTTGGCAGTCAAGTGCTTTAGGCACTACGCTAGCAGACCACCATCCACTAGGTCTCCCAAACCAGGAAGTGGAGGGGACTCCTCACTCCAGAGCTAGCAGTGAGGAGTCCTGTCAGTTCTGCCTCCTGCATGGGCCCTTTTCCCCAAGCCCTCTGCTTTTACCGCAGTTTCAGGCCGTTTCCTCTCTTGCGTGGACTGTTTGGTACAGCCCCCTGACGGGTCGCTCTACTGCCAGTATCATACCTTTAATTCGCACCTCTACCAGACCAAAGTGGCTTCCCTTTGCTGGCCTGGTTAAGTCTCAACTCCTTACCCTGGCCTCAGGGCCCTGCCACTTCGCGAATGTTTCCACACTCCTTGTTCCAGTGTGTGTATCTGCACCCGGGACTGTGCCTCTATAAAAGTAGTTCACGTTTTACCAGACCCACTGCAAACTCATCTCTCCTGCGAAGTTTCCCCTCTGGTGACAAAGTGACAAAACGAGCTGGCCTACCTCCACTCTGTGCTTAATCCTTTGATCCCACGTTTCCCAACTGGGTTGTGGGACCCTGGAGATGAGGGGATGGATCCTATTTCCATCTCCATCCTATTTCCAGCCTGGCACTATGCCTCATATAATACCAAAAACCAAACTCACTGCCATAAAGTCGATTCTGACTCATAGCGACCTCCATTGAGTTTCCAAGGCAGTAAATCTTTACCAAAGTAGATTGCCCCACTTTACTTCCAAGGAGTGGCTGGTGGATCTCAACCACAGACCTTCTGGTTAGCAGTCAAACGCCTTAGACACTAGGCCACCAGAGCTCCTTAATAAGTGGCCAATAAATACCTGTTGGCAAAAGGTGCATTAATTGGGGGATATGGGCGTCACCCTTCATCTTCAGCGCCTTCCCAGCCCCCAAGTCTTCCTTCAGACCCCAGAGGACGTTCTCGGGGCAGGTTCCCACCGTATCGCTTCACCGAGATAGCAATTAAGACCTATCTCTGGAAGGCAAGGTGGCCACATTTTAGTAGTGATCCTACATACTTTTAAATAGGCAGGAACGGCGGTACTGAGTTTGCAAGAGGAATTTTTGTAACCAGACCAAACTACGGTTGAGAACCAAATCACGCGAACCCAACCAGAAAGTTATCAACCCCAACAGGGTTACAAGTGGTGGAGGCAGAGGGATTGAAGCAAAAGAGATCCCTAATCGCAAACAAAAAAAATAAAGCTGCTCACTACAGCTCACTTCTCCCCTCACCCTAACTTGTTCTCATACTTACCTCCGGAACTGGAGGACTTGAAGAGTAAATATTAAACTTCGGGACAGCCACTGCAGTCAGCAATCTGGAAGAGCTACAGTTGAGTACCGAAGACAACCTCTAAATGATAGTGATTTCGCTGGAAGAAAGGTCTTTTATACGTATCGGATCGTAACCTAATCAAGATTTGGTTGTTTTGTTTGTACCTAATTTAAATAGGCCAACTAAGGGAATTGTGATTTTCTTAAAAATGCGTTTGAATCTTTTCTTGAGCACTTGATTTTGTAACCAGCACCATGCTAGGCTCCTTAATATTTCATTGAAATCTCATAAAAAACCCATGAAGTAGGTATTTCCAAACTATATCCTGTGGGGGTGGGGGTTGGGGGGGTTGGGAGAGTGTCTTAAGAAGTGAAGTAACTTGCCCAAGTCATGAAACTAATTAGAAGTGAGCAGGGAATTTCAAAGCCAGATTTCAAAGCTTGTATCATAACTACTATAAAGTTCTTTAATATACAAAAATTATATTATGTATAATTCTGAAAATTAGAAGACTAAGTCCCAGCACTAGACAATTGTTTAAACTGATCATATCCAATCAAAGATTATTATGCACCTATTAAAAGGTTTACATATAGTGATGACATGCAAAAAAAAGTTTTCTTAGGCCAAAGAAGTAGAATGTAAAATTGTATACGAAGTATGATTATCTCCACTGCTGTCAAGTCAATTGCAACTCATAGTGACCCTACAGGGCAAAACAGAACTGCCCAGCAGGGTTTCCAAGGCTGTAAATGGTAATGGAAGCAGACTGCCACATCTTTCTCCTGCAGAGAGGCTGGTTATTAGCAGCACACCTCTTTAATAATCACTGTGCCACCAGAGCTCCTTATAACTATGAATACAGTTATGTATATATTAGTTTTAAAAACTTGGGCATAAGAGGAAAAAATGAAAATGAACCGTAAATCTTTCCAGTTTTTAGTGATAGGTACCAAAAACTTTTAAAATATTGAGACTTGTAACCCAGAAATTCTATTTCTTATAATCTGTTCTAAAGAAATAATCTTTAGATTATTAGAAAATACAAACAACCAATAAAAACCATCAACCTAGATTTCTCTACAGCCAGCAAAAATATATTTAAAAAATGAAAGCAAAATAACAACTTTAAAAGAAAAAGGAAATAATCTAAAAAGTAGGTAAACATTTGTGAATAAAGATATCCATCAAAGTGAAAAAATGTAAATAAAGGTCTAAGTAGGGACTTTCAAGAAAATTATTTCACACACATAGGATGTAATTTCATGTAGTCATTATGCCTTCAAAACATTTTTAATGACAAGGAAAAATGTTTGCAATACAATGGTAAACAGAATTCTAGTATACAAAATTGTATGTACAGTATGATCAAAAAATACAACCATAGATAAAAGACTGGGGGAAAAAAAATGCCAAAATATTAATAGTGATTCTCTCTGGGTAGTAGGATTACAAATGATTTTCTTCATTATAATTTTCTATTGTCTATAACTTTACATAATAATATATTATTTTTATTTAAAATTTTAAGTATCACTCCAACTTCCAGACTTTCTTTAATAAGCATGATTACTTTTACAAAGAAATACACACATTTATAAAGATATTTGAACAGTGACATAAAGTAAGATCCTCCTCTATTAGATTGTAAGCTGTAGAAGGCAGGAACACAATCCTAAGTATATTTCTATTCTTGTTGTCTACCATTCTGTGCTTAATAAATGTTAATGGAATGATTTTCAACAATGAATAATAATATATTCACTGTTATTGATACATAGAGAACATGAGAGATAAATTTCTCTATGAGAATGAATTTTAAAAAAATTAATATGTAATGGTGTGAGATTCACTCATTTTTAATTGTAATTCTGCTTAAGTAATAACCTAGAAGTAGAGCTATAAAAAACTAAAACTACAATGATGGTATGCCCCAGAGGAGAAGAAACTGAGTTAATACAAAAGAATGGTCAGTGGAGTTGGGAAAAAGAGAATTTAAGCTAAATAATGGGTTGGAGCATCTCCAGTTCTGTCCAGAAGTTTCCTCACTAGACAACAAAAATATTTGGCTTCTTAGTAGTTTTATCCCTATTTTAACTCCTTTGAAATTTTAACAATAATTCTCTATGATATAACATTGCATTTTTTTAATATAGTAGCCGCTGGTTACATAAAAGGGAGCTCTTCATGGCGTAGTGCCTAAGGCATGTGACTGCTAATGAGAAGGTTGGTGGTTCAAGCCCACCAGCCACTCCGCAGAAGGAAGACTCACAATCTACTTTTGTAAAGATTTATTGCCTTGAAAATCCAAAGGGGGTCACTATGAGTCGGAATCAACTTGATAGTAGTGACTTTGGGTTTTTTTTTTTTTTTTGGTGTAGTCACATATAAAGAGCTCTGGTGGTATAGTGCCTAAGGCATTTGACTGCTAACCAGAAGGTTGGTGGTTCAAACCTAGCAGCCACTCCACGGAAGGAAGACTGGACAATCTACTTCCGTAAAGATTTACCACCTCGGAAACCTAAAGGAGGTCGCTATGAGTTCAAATCAACTCCATAGCAGTGAGTTTTTTTTTAAGTCACGTATGCTATTAAGCATTTGTAATGCAGCTAATCTGAATTTAGAATAGCTAAAAGTGTAAAATACACACTAGATTTTGAAATTTTTAAGATTTAATATTAAAAGGTATGTAAAATAACTCATTAATAATCATTTAATATTACATATAGAGAACTTTTTTTTTTTTGCTATATTGGATGTTTAAAGATATTCTTTAAAATTAGTTTTACTTGTTTTTTTTACTTTTTCTAATGTGACTACTACATATGTTGCTTGCATTATATTTCTATTTGGGCAGTAGTAATATAGAACCTTGTAGTCCTTACCACTTACTTATCTCTATTTTGAAGCATATTTCAATTATCAATTAATGCAAAGTCTTGACCTACCTACCTTAACTCTCTAGGTCTATCCTTGCACGAACATGGGGTCACCATTTCAATGGGGAGGAACCTCTGTTGGACTGCTTAATTTCCATTCTGCTTGGTTAATTTTTAAAACTTTGAACCTGGAAAAACTTTAATATACTGTACCAGAAATACATACATGTTCATTATCAAAACATCAGAACATACTGATGGCAAAAAGAACTAAAATCACCCATAAATTCCACCATCCAGAGATAATCACTAAGGATATTCTGGCATATATCGTTTGTGATTTTTTTCAATATACAAATACATATAGAGGCATATACATACATATTTTAGCAAAAATGGGATCATACTGTATATATCATTTTCAAATCTACTTTTTTTTTACTCAATAAGATACAGAAACATCTTTCCATGTCAATATATTTTTCCAACATCATTTTTCATAGCTTTACTCAAAAGCCATCCCAGCAATGAGGCCTTCCTTGACCACCTTATTTAAAACTGAAATCTATACATATACCTTCTCAATCCCCCTTCAATAAATTATTTTTCTCCATAGCACTTATCACCTTCTAATAGTGGTGTAGTGCCTAAGGCATTTGACTGCTAACCAGAAGGCTGGCGGTTCAAACCCACCAGCCACTCCTTGGAAGGAAGGTTGGGCAATCTACTTCCCTAGTGATACCGCCTTGGTAACCCAAGGAGGGGTTGCTATGAGTTGGATCTAATGGGACAGCAGTGAGCTTGTTTGTTTTTTTTTCCACTAGACTATAAACAACATGAGGTCAGAGATTTGTATGTTTACTTCTCTCCCCCAGTGCCTAGAATTGTGCTTAGCACACAGAAGATGCTGGAATATTTGCTGTGTGAATGAATGAGTGAGTGAATGAAGAACTACATAGTAATCTATTATGTTATATTTTCTGGTTTTTTTTAAATGTTGTTAATTTATTTATATCATGCCTATGTCTACATTTAAGGCAGCTGCTTTTAAAATTTTCAAAATATCTGTTCTTAAGTAACAACAATGTCTATATCCATTTGAGAAATTGTTAACTAAATGTCCAATTTTTATCAAAAGTGCCATTTTCAGAAATAGTATTCAGAAAACTGTCTGAAGGACACACAATCCATTTGTTCCTTAGATAGTCCAAAATTGAGCCCTGTATTAAACTAAACTGTGATGAGCTTGATAGAATAAATTTACGACTACTGAATCCCAATTTGCTGTCTCTAGAAGAAACAGTGGTACAAAACTCAATATCATATTTGCTGTCAAGTGTTGTAGAGGGTGGTTTTCACTGTATCACTCAGTGTCTTCTCAGAATAGCCACAAAACTTTCTGTTCCTCTTGAGTAACTGACAGGCTTTTATAAATCCTAAGAGGAATGTAAACTTCATTTGGCTTTCCAATTTGCTTTAGCTGCCAAGGAGCTCAGAACTGAAGTCATAGCCTTTTAATAATCAGGAATACTGCTTACAGAATGCTTTTCTATACATTCATTTTCTTTTTGGTGTCATCTTATTATAATGCAATTTTCCCTTCACCTCTACTTTAAAAATCTCTGTCTTCCTATTGTTTTATATTTTGTGTATTATAGTAAGACATTGCAAATGTTTTTCAGAACTAAGCAAATATCAATCAGTCATTAAATCAGTCACACTGTAGTGGTGATAAATGCACTAGCTATTATAGCTTGATAACATTAACTATTAAGAGCAGCTAATTCCTTTTCTCCTAATGTCACATTCCACCACTCATCTGTCAGTTTGTCATACTGTGGTGGCTTGCATGTTGCTATGAGGCTATGCCACTGGTATTCCAAATACCAGCAGGGTCACCCATAGTGAACAAGTGTCAGCAGAGCTTTCAGACTAAGACGGCCTGGAAAGAACAATGGGGCCATCTGCTTCTGAAAAATTTGGCCACTGAAAACCTTAAGAATAGCAGTGAAGCACTGTCGGATATATTACTAAAACAGTGAAACACTGTTCGGAAGATGAGCCCTTTAGGATGGAAGGCACTCAAATCTATCGTGCTTGGTACAGTAGAGGTCAGTGAAAAGGGGGAAGACACTCAACAAGATGGATTGACACAGTGGCCGGAGTGATGGGCTCAAGTGTAAGAAGGATTGTGAGGATGGTGCACAACTAGCCAGTGTTTTGTTCTGTTATACATAGGGTCGCTGTGAGTCGGAGTCAACTTGACAGTACCTAACGACATCATGTTCACCAATCTGTTCTGTATGTTTTCCTATAGACAGAGAATGGAAAGGCAGTACCAGATTCCTCTTAGGTGTTATATTTCTCACTACAATTTAACACATTAACCTAAATACCAGTTTATTACACTGGGTTATAGAAAGACTAGAAATTCTTGCATGAGATTTAAAATTAGGATCACTATTCTTGTCAGATATGATGTTGATGGTCCTAGACTAGAGGTGTAGAAGGGTGGATTAAGTAATTCCTGGCAATTCCATCCAGTTTAGCAGTTTCCATTAATGTGGCCGAAACCAAACATCTCAGGGGACTAGAAAAGAAAGCAGAGGCTCCATTTTTGCCAGGCCTATTTTAAGTCTGAGGTAGACAGCAGGGTATCCAGGGAGAAATGCTTATTATCAAAACACTTCTGATTAGAGGCTAAACCACAATTCAGGATTTGACTACTATTACACAAAAGTTTTTGGCAAGTTTTCTTTGTTTTGTTTTTTCTTGTGGCAGCCCCAAAGCACCAACATATACATACTGTCTTAATAAGCTTGGGTTGGCATAGATAGAGTTTTTGGCTTTGGACATTTGGCTAGGGGAAGAGGGTGCTGGGAGGAGGTTATGTTTTTGTGGGTTTTTTTTAAATCTCAACATTTTCCCAAATGCCTATTACTCTAATTCTTGTCCTTAACAAGGTCATGAAGAGATGACTGGATCAAGTAATGTCCTGACCCCAGGCTATACAATGTAGAAGTCACAAACCCTGCTCAGTCCTTCTCATTAAACTTCTGGGCTTTATTTATTTTTTTTAATACGACCATTACATATTACACAAAAATAAAAGTCAAATGAACTTAGTATTTATAAATTATTAAATAAAAATACAGGAATATATATTTATATTTATAGAGCTTTTTACTTCTCTTCTAAACTAACCAAATCTGTTCTCCTGCCATTTTATGATTTAAAAAAGTAAATAGCATATGCCCTAAAATAAAGTGGGGAGTGGGATTAATAACCGCAGGACCTATTTGCCCTACTTCTGCTCCTTCCTTGGCCAAAGCAAAGTCCCTATTTGTCCCTTTGGGTTCTGGAGAGCAAGAAACACCCTCTCCACCTATTTAATCTTTGAAAAATGGCAATTACATTATTTCCTTTATTTTTTAAAAAATGAAATGGATTTAAAAATTGGGAGCCATACTCAGCCTTCTTGGCCAAGAGCTAATCCCAAGGAACTATATGGCTCTAGAAGAGTCCCTAGTTTTCCCTGACAGAAGAGTCTCTGGGGTTTCCATTGCCCTTCAAGTTAAGAAGGGCAGGACAGGCCAAAACTGCCCACTGTGGTCCCATCCAAGCTATGTTTCTAGGAATCCAGATCAAGCCCTTTACCCTTTTCAGAAAACAGCCTCTCCGTCCACCCAGGTGTGAAGGCCCAGAGCAGAACATTTTGGTAACTTGACCATGGTCCCTGCTGCCCCTGTTGCCAAAGGCCCACAGGAGAGCTAACAGGGATAGGCATCCTGTGGTAGAGGGTAGGGTGAAGAGTCTGCCCCAAACCTGAGGGAGCAGAGGCTCCAATTTGAAGCTGATGGTCTAGTCAGTGGTTTTCCAACTTTTTTTCAGCAGCAAAACCCTTAATTCAAATAAAATCTTACCCTGAACCCCGATATGTAAGACAACTATAAGGGGAGCTGTTCTGTTTGAGGGCAAGGTAGCCCAGCCTGCTCAGCCCCCACCCTATCTCCCCAAGGACTCCTGAGGTAATCCCTAGGAAATTTTGGGGCCCTGCCAAGCAGTTGGAGAACCACTGGCCTAGTTTGTCCTGAGCAAGTCAGAGACCCCCCCCACCCCAACTGCCTGCCACAGACCAGCTCTGAGTTTCTGGTATCAGCATACTCACGACAGACCAAGTGGCGCATGCAGTCTACCACCTCCCCTATAAATACCATTAGAAAGTGCAGCCCTCTCTCAAAAGCAAAAGTCTGGACTAAACACCTGAGGCCAATTTTGGTCCTACAGTCTAGCGAGCATAACTATGTTGCCACATTCTGGGACCAAGTGAAAATCTCCTCCAAGAAGAGCCAACCATGTTCTAGTTAAGCTGATCAGTGCTCAAGACCAAGGGCAGGGTTCTAGAGCACTGTGCATCTGAAGTCAGCATTGGAGAGCAGCAATTTTAGCACCTTGGAAAGTGCAGCAGTGAGGTCTGGCTCAGGGCATGCATCTGGAGTGAATAATTTCTTCTTTAAAAGAAAAAGCTATAATCTGAATCTGTTCTAGATGACTGTGAGCTCTAAAGTTAACATCCCTAGACTGTGAGGTACAGACAAGTAACACTCATGCAAACAGCGTGGCTTCAGAGAAAATGTAAATGCTTCTAGGTCATGTTAGGTACTCTAGAACCCATATACCTGGCCCCTAATAAAGCAGCACCAAAGCCCACGACACAGAATCGGCCAGTCACAGAGTACACATTACCCTCACACCTGTGGGGTTCAGAGCTGGAAATGTTCCCCTCAAGGCATCAACTCTCAGTCTCACTGAGACACAGTGCAGGACCTAGACTGTATTCTAGATCAGCATTTATGTCCACATAGTCAAGGAAAATTAGTTAGAGCTCCAATTTAGTTTTAGTTTGGGTACAGAGGTCCCAGAGATAGGGAACACTTCTAGGCACCATTGTGCCTCAGTAGGAGAGGAGGGCAGCAGGCAGGTCTAGCTCCTGAGGCCTCCACCCACCTAAGCTCCGTAGCCCTGACTTTTCTGTCAGAGCCTAGGAGGCAGCAGCAAGTGCTTGATACACAGGAAGGAGGTGAGGAAGGAACAAGGCCAGCTGCAGAACTGCTCTTTTCTCCAAAGTCCTGCTAACTACTTTTTGCAGAGAAGTGCCCAAAGGCCTCTGTCTGGATACAGTGTTTCTCCCTCAGCCTTGAGGCATCAGGACACACAGAGAGGAAGGAGGGGGCTGGAGGAGCTGCAGAGAATTGCCCTTTGTTCTTGCCACTGCAAGAAGGAATGTTTTCTCCGTGAAGAATCCCACCACCACCAGGTTAGACAAGCAGCCCAGCATGCACAAGAGCACGCGTGCACATGCACACGCATGTCCAAGCAGCCCGCTGTCACAGCCACTTCTATCACCTGAGAACTCCAAGCTTCCATCTGAAAGGATGTGCCTTGTGTGTTCTCCCCAAATCCCACTCATCCAATGCAGATCCAACCCCTTATGCAAGCTCCCCTTCCTCAGGGCTGCAAACCAAGCTCCAGGTATACTGTTGTGTGCCTGTCACCTATCGTCATCATCCCTCCCACCACCCCCCATCCCTGGAATGACTCCACCTCCTGGGCTCCTGATCTTCCCAATACATTCCCCAACATTTCCAGCTCACCCTTCCATCCACCTGCCTGACACACTCAGCTCCCTCACACCCTACTCTTTCCCTGCCTGCCCCACTGCTTGCCCATCTGTTGACCCCACTTCTTCCAAGGGCATTTCTCTGGTTTGTTCCTGCTCTCCGGTCTCCCAGCAATACCTAGTCCCACCTGGCCCTTCACTTTCTCACTTGCTAGCAAAAAAGGCCCCTACAGTTACCAGGGCCCCCAGTGCCACGGCCCCTGTCAGCACTGTCCTCACTGATGCCCAGTTCCCCTCCCGCAGACGCCGCGCCTCCTCCAGGGCCCCGTCCCCGTATAGAGCTGTGAACTCCGCCTGTGGGAGAGAAGGGAAGTAGGAGACAAAGAAGGAGAAAGGGATATCAGGAGAGGAAAGAGTAGAGAAAAGAGGAGAGGAAGAGTTCCAGTTCCATCCACTGCGAACACTACCTCATACCCAGCTCCTCCCTGGCCAAAGCACTACTGTCTGCAAGCCCCCTGAGAGCCCCATGTGTGTTCCCCCATGAGCGCCTGGCTCATTTGCCATCTCTGACTCCTTTCTTGGCTAAAAGTTCAGCTCAGAACAGGCATCCTTCGCTGAGTCTGGCCTGACTACCACTCTCAACCCCTCAGGCCCTCTACTCAGTTGTATAATGTTCCTGACAGCTGGATGCCTTGACTGACATTATTTCCCTGCAAGCAATTCCTTGGTTGCTATGTATTCTCTGCTTTGGGCCATGAGCCCATCCAGTAATTGCTGCCTGGCAGTCCTGGAGTGCACAGTCCAGTGCAATGCCCCCTGTGAAAGCATCACTCAGTCTGATTCTACCCAAATGGGAAGACTCGGTCTCCACACCTCATTCCCAGCATGGCAGCCCCAGCCCCAATCAGAGCCCCACCTTCCCAAGAGGCCAGCTTTGCAGAGGGATGTGCAGAGCAACAACTGAGAAGCTTCTTACCCAGCCCCCACTGCTGTGGATCCAGTCAGCCAGCCGAGTCTCCAGGTAGACTACCATCCACTCCTGCACTTGTCCCACCAGTGGCTCCATCTCCTTGTTGACACTCTCAGCACACAAGGCAGCCCCAAAGACAAAGAAGGCCACAAGGCGGCCCCAATTGGGGCCCCCTTGGAAAAGTTCATCAGAAACCTGGGTGAAGCGTTGCTGGGCTGAGCCAGGGGTTACATGCAACTGGGCTGCCAGATCAGAAAAGGTGCGCCGGAAGCGGGTCTCGAACTCATCTCCAGCTGCCCGCATAGCTTGGTGCAGCGGGTCAGCTGCTGGGCCCTCCCCAGGGCCAGCTCCACAAACATAACCTTTCTGCCTCAGCTTGTAGCCTACAAAGTCTGCCACCAGAGCCCGTGTGTCTGGGGCTGAGGCTGGGGTCGCCATGCGGGCGGCTGCAAGAGTCAAGGATGAAAGACTGGCATGAATATGTGGACAGAGACCTTGAGGGGGAGTTTCAGGTTTGGCCAACCCAGAGGAATAGGGTAGGGTGGGAGGGAATGCTTAGAGACCACTAAGCAAGGAGGAGCAAGAACCAGGGAATAAAATCATGGTAGAGGCCAGGGCATGAGGGTCTGGCCATTAAATTTATATTATGCCAAATTAAATGTAAAACAAGTAGATTTTATTTTTTCAATATTTTAGATTCTTGCCATAATAAGACAACACTAGCTCTATGACACTACTAATATGCACACCCCCTCTTTATATGCACACCTTTGGGGCTAGAAAACGGCTTACGACATCTCTAGAGGCAAGATGTTAAGATGTTAGCAGAGGTGCAAAATAGAGGAGGGGATAAGGGCTGAAGAAAAAGGTGGGAGAAGCCAAGGGGTGCCTGGGACAGAAAAGAAGGGGACACTCACCCAGCCTGGATGGCAGCTCTTAGGACCCAGCACTGGTGGCAAGAAGCCCCCAGCTGGGGCCTTTCATCCTCCTGGCCAGCTTGGAGCCCTGGGAAGGGGAGGGGAAAATCAGAGCTAGGTGGGGAAGGCCAGGGAGTAGGATCTGGCGGGAGAAGGGCTAGGGTTGCAGCTTCTGGGTCCAGGCCCCTGCCCCCTACGCTCTACCATCTGTGTGACTGAATCCATGTTTAATGACTGTCCTCCCGGGAAACCCAAGGCCAAAGGCTTCCTGCCGACACCATCTCTACTCCAGGCTCCCACCAGTGCAGCCCAAGGGCCCAGCTCCTCCCTTACCCCCACCCTCAGCCTGTCTCCAACCCCGCCCGCCTGCCAGGTTAGGGATCTCACGGGTCAGGCCTCTGCCGGGGATCCGGGCCGTTTCCTGGTGCAGGAGCTGGGAGGGAGGGAGGGAGGAAGGGAGGAAAGGAAGGAAGGAGGAGAAAAGGGGGGAGGAGGGAGGGAGGGCCCGGCGCCGGGTGATGATGGGGCCCAGAGATGCGTCCAGAGAGAGAGGCGGGGCTGGGAGGAAGGCCTGGGAAGGCCCACAACTTGGGAAGAGAGGGCTGAAGGTAAGCGAGAGCAGGGCCAGGAGGACACTGTGGCCTGGGCTGGGCTTCTGCATCTCAAGGCTACCCAGAGAGCCACTCTAGGCTTTGGGAAATCTCAGAACAAATGCAACATTTCCAGAAGATTTCTGATGTTACATGCACTTGTTGAAATTTTCCAGCCTTGGAGTGGGAGTGGGTGCCTGGAAAAGCAGCAGTTCCCATTACCCAGCAAACCAAAGGACAGGCGCCTTGCCTTTGTGGGACTAGTAGACTTGGTCAGGAAACCTTTGTCATCCTCTTTTCTCCAAAGGGCTTTGATGGAGTGATTTCGTGGGCTGGGGCTTGGGCCAGGCATCAGGGAACCAGGACCTGGATCACAAGCAGTATATGAAGGTAACTTCTCTTCATCTTTTTTTGTAATCAAATCATTATTATTTTTAATTTTTTTCTTTTTACCTAACACATGAATTCCTTCTCATTATGTAAAAGGCAAACAATACATAAGTATGGAGGGAAAAATACAAGTCCTCAGTCTCACTCCCTCCCCATCCACCCACCTCCCACCTACAATTCCACCTCCCTTCCAGGAGTTTGCCAATGTTAAGGCTGATATTTATCCTTTTGGATTTTACATATATAAGATACGTTTATATATGGGTGTGCAAATAAATATATATACGTATGTGTGTGTGTATATATATATATATATATATATACACATATATTTATGTATGTACAAATTAATATAGATATTTATTATATAAACTAAATCATACAATAAATATTGTTCAGCAACTTGAGCTCTCCCATGATACTGGAGATCTGCCCAGATTATTTCTTAATGTCACAGCACATCCCCGTCCCTGCCCAGAGCTCCAGAGAAATTTCTCCTCCAAAGATCATGGCTCTGGGTTTCCTGTGTATGTGTCTCTCTCTCCTAGACATGGACACTGTGGCACTGCATGTATACCTACAGCCAAGGGGCAAAGGGCAGTTCACGGGGTGTGAGGCAGCTGAGAGAGTGCCCTTGTTTTCACAGAGGCCTCAATCTTGATGCAGGCTCTTGTAGCTGTCACGTCCTTTGGCCCCCATTTTGAGGGAATTCCAACCAAAGACCAGAAAAAGGCAAATCATTTCTCCTTTCCTGATGCTTCTCTTTCCTTCTACCTCTAGACCAAGCCTCAGAATTCCCATCTGTCTTTATGATCACTGGAGATAAAAGTTCTTTATCACAATAAAAATAATAACTATCACATTTTGAGGACTTATTAGGTGCTAAATACTTTTTTTATGCATAGTATTTTATCCTCCCACCAATCCCTAAGGTGTTTTTCCCCAATCTATAGATAAAAAAATAGAGGCTTGGAGAGGCTAAGTGTATTAGACTGGGTTCTCTAGAGAAACAAAAAACAGCAAAGCTTAGAGAGAGAGAGAGAGAGAGAAATTTATCTTAGGAAAATGGCTCACACGTGTATAGAAGCCAGCAAGTCCGAAATTCCTGGATCAAACGTCAAGCCGGAGGCTTTTTCTGGCTCCTGCAACTGCAGGGCCCAAGGAGCTCAAGGCTGGCAGGCAGTATACTGGCTGTTGACTCCAACGAATGACAAATCCAAGATCTCCAGGCAGAATGGTGAACTGCTCACTCACACAGTTGTAGGCAGCACAACAGAATCCTGATCCACAGAAGAATGTCTCTCTTCCCAGGATGTCCCTGGATATACTGGAAGCAGGCCACACCCCTAGGGAAACTCCCCTTCAACAGATTGGCCACTCAGAGCACAGTCATCCAATCACATCATGGGAACAACCACACAGAACTGGGGACCAGCCAAGTTGACACACAGCTCCAACTATCACAGTCCACCCCTTGTCAGCTTGGCAGTTGTACACATCTTCTTAACCATATATACTCTCTAAATAAGGACAATAATAAAGTCATATTTGTGCCTAACATGGTACGCTAACACACATACAACCAAAATGCATTAATCTTATTTACATTTCACAGTTCGTAACAGAAGGAAACAAAAATAGATGATGCACATACACAATGAAGAAATATAACAATCATAGTCCTCGTTTCCGCAGCTGGTCACGTGGTTGTAGCTGATATTCAGAACTACCTTCTTCCACCACCCATTCTGTATTTCTCTTGCCCTCAGCAAGCACCTCAGCTGGTTGTGGTTCTTTGCCTGGTGGGGTGACCCAAACCTTCATTCCTGAAGGGTCTGGGCTGTTAGCAGTCATATCAGAATTGGATCGCTGTAATTTTCCATTCACTTTAATCACAGGGCATGGTAGTACTAAGAGACATCCTAAAGAATCTCCTGTATTCCAGACATATTCTTCTTTACCTCCATTATGTAAAGCCAACCCAATTTCCCTTTGGTAATTAGGATCTATCACACTAGATAGTACAGTATGCCCTTCTTTGTTGATCCAGAGGCATGAGGAAACCAAAATGGCCAGGTGGCTTTCTTAATTTCCAGTTCAATGCAATCAGTGTTGTGTCTCCAGGTGGGAATGTTCCTCTCTTTGGGACTAAGATCTCCAGACCCTCAGAGCATAGGGTAGCAGGGACAGGAAGCAAAATTTTTTTGAGTGGGTCACTAGGGGTAATAGTGAGTAGTACCACTCCTATTTCCACCCTTTGGTTCCTGGACCCATGAATCCTAGCTATTGGAGAAACAGAATCATATATTGGACGCTGGTTTAGAGCATATACAGCCTTCTGGAGAACAATGCCCCAACCCTTCAAGGTATTGCTACCTAGCTGGCACCATATTTGTGTTTTTAAGAGGCCATTCCATCATTCTGTCAAGCCAGCTGCTTCAGGATGATGGGGAACATGGTAAGACCAGTGAATTCCATGAGCATAAGCCCATTGCTGCACTTCATTTGCTGTGAAATGAGTCCCTTGATCCGAAGCAATGCTGTGTGAGATACCATGATGGTGGATAAGGCATTCTGTAAGTCCATGGATCATAGTTTTAGCAGAAGCACTGCATGCAGGGAAGGCAAATCCATATTCAGAATAAGTATCTATTCCAGTAAGAACAAAACGCTGTCCTTTCCATCATGGAAGTGGTCCAGTGTAATCAACCTGCCACGAGGTTGCTAGCTGATCACCCCAAGGAATGGTTTCATATCATGGACTCAGTGTTGGTCTCTGCTGTTGGCTGACTGGGCACTCAGCAGTGGCGGTAGCCAAATCAGCCTTGGTAAGTGGGAGTCATGTTGCTGAGCCCATGCATAACCTCCATCCCTGCCACCATGACACTTTGTTCATGAGCCCATTGAGCAATGACAGGAGTATCTGGGGAAAAAGGAGGGCTGGTTTTCACTGAACGTGTCATCCTATCCACCTGATTTGTTAAAGTCTTCCTCTGCCAAGGTCACCTTTTGGTGGGCATTCACATGAGACACAAATACCTTTACTCCTTTGGCCCATTCAGAGAGATCTAGCCACACACCTCTTCTCCATACATCCTTATCACCAGTCTTCCAATCATGATCCTTCCAAGTCCTAGACCATCCAACTAAGCTGTTAGCCACAGCCCATGAATCTGTATATAATCGCACATCTGGCCATTTCTTATTCCATGCAAAGTGAACAGCCATATGCACGGCTCAAAGTTCTGCCCATTGGGAGGATTTCCCTTCACCACTTCCTTTAAGGAAGTCCCAGAAAGGGGCTGCAGTGCTGATGCTGTCCACTTTCGAGTGGTGCCT